TGCTTTCATTTGCTGTTCCTTCAGTTGAGCACCATTTGAAATAGTTGTCTTGCTATGTATGGTACATGAAAAATGTGTATGTTTAAACTCTAGAATTATGCTTGACACCTTCAGATGATCTCACTATACAAGAAGCTCAGGAACTGATTCTGATTGAGAGAGCAGCTGATTGAGTTAGTGCCTCAATTTACACCAGGGCTATCGTTTACTGAAGGAAATAATTGAAGGAATTGACTACACTATTTAAATTATTTTTCTTCCTTTTTTTCAATGCACATGTATTTTATTTGTATAAAGTTCATATTTATATGACAAAGTTTCTGTGTAATAGATAGGTATAGGCAGGAATAATTTGCTACTGAAATAACTTGATTGTAATGACTAACTGAATTACCACAGGATTTGAACAAAGTTTATTCAAATAAAGGTGTTTTAGCTTCAAAAAAGCATAAAAATATAGATTTTTGAAAAAGATAAATTGAAAAGGTTATTCTTTGCATGTCCCAGTCATGCATATATTATATACATATATTCATTTTCATATTCTTTTTCACTAAAGGTTATTACAAGATACTGAAAATAGTTCCCTGTGCTATACAGAAGTTTTTTTTTAATCTATTTTTATATACAGTGGTTAACCTTTGCATATCTCAAACTCCCAAATTTATCTCTTCCCACCTCCTTTCCCCCAGTAACCATAAAATTGTTTACTATGTCTGCATAGATTTTTATATATGTTAAATATATCTTTTCAGGGGCACGTTTTATCTTGCTGTCTTTCCATCCCATCTTGCGTATGTTAGTATTCTTAGTGCCCTTTTAATAGCTTGTACCAAAATAAGTTTTATCCTGTCCAAAACATCTTGAAGTCATGCTTTTAAAAACTTGAAAATAGTGTGCTCTATAATAAAGCATGATATTTGTATATTTGGTATCATAGTCCCTGACTCAATTTTCATTATTTTCATGAAATCTTGTTTCTTCAAAATATATTATGTGATTAGCTTCTTTCAGCAAAATAATTGGTTTTTAAGGATTTAGATTCTTGAAACAAACCTTTAAAAGAATTCATTACAAATATTTCTTTTGAGTCAATTATTTTCATACTATCAGGACCTACATGGCTTCTGTTGTTTTATTTTTATTGAAAAAAATCTATTAATAAACCAAACATGAAGGAAAAATATAGACCTGGGGAACTTG